TTCATGGGGTTGCCTATTCAATCTCACGGCTAATTAATAATAACAACGAAGGGTTCTGGTAACCCAGTGGTACCCTTTACCTTTTTTTTGGTTAGGGGTTCCCTTGTAAATTAACCAACCCCCAAAAAAGGGTGCCCATACTACAATATGGTTACTGGGCTACCAAGATGCTGAGAGTTGAGTCTTGAGGATGCTCTACCTTCAAGGGCTATTGTACGGTATAACCCCCTTCAAAAGGCCCTTGATAGGGTTGGTTTGGGGGGGCATATAAGGCCCTTTATAGCCCATGCTGGTAGTGTCACGGTATGCTGCCACCAATCTGCTGCCTTGAAGCTTTAAAGCAGCAGTCCCGAGATCCGAAAGCTCTTGGGTGTTAGCTTCCCCTTACTAAGCTCCCAACAAGCTACATGCCCAAAGCACAGAAAAGAACTAGTTAGAACGAACTACTTAATAGCACCATCCTCCCCGTACGACGGTTGACCTTGGTACCATAAGAGTTCGAATAGCATTCTCTTTATCTCATTTGCCTCAGAAGCTGCTCAGTCCAGACTCCTGCTGGCAACACTTTCAACCCTAAACCCTTAACCCTAAACCTTAAACCCTAAACCCTAAACCCCCCCGGAAATTCTGGAGCGCAGACCAGCCTGTGAAAGAAAGTGCATCGAACTACTGTCAAGGCCCAGTCGTAGCCACACTCAGAAACCCGAAGGCCTGCACTCAAACTCTTGAAGCACTTTGGATAGGGTTTAGGGTTTAGGGTTTAGGGTTTAGGGTTTAGGGTTTAGGGTTTAGGGTTTAGGGTTTAGGGTTTAGGGTTTAGGGTTTAGGGTTTAGGGTTCAGGGAGCTTATAGAAACTTGTGGGTTGAACCTTCACGCTTCATTTGACGGCAGACTTCGGCCATGCATCAGACCCCCGAGACAGCATTAATACCCCAAAAAGTTAAACAACAAACCCAGTGGCATAGACCTTTATATATAAATAAATAAATAAAGAAAGAATTAAACATAAATAAATACATAAATAAATAAATATATATATATATATATATATATATCCTTTGTTGTGCTCTTCTTCTTTTTCGAAACATTGAATCACAGACTACCTACCTCATATTCGATACAATGCTGTTTCCTGAATTCCTTCTGAAACAAGCCTCCGAAAACCAAGAGAGTAAAGAGAGGAGAAACGTGAACTCTTCGTTCTCTCGTCCATTTATCTTCACCACCATTCTAAAACAAAAGCATGTCAACTCCGGGAAACCACCCGGCAAATAGAGCGTTAAAGGTTCTACGTGCAAACTTATGGAAGCCCTAAATTTTTAAACTTTAAGCCCTATTCCCTAAACCCTAAACCCTAAACCCTAAACCCTAAACCCTAAACCCTAAACCCTAAACCCTAGACCCTAGACCCTAAACCCTAAACCTACTTCGCCAGGTGGACGGCGAGCTCCCGACCCTCGGCCCAAAAGCCGCGTTGCAGGAGGCGGGCAGCGGCGGGCTTTCGGGTTCTGGAGGGCTTGGCTTTGTGGACTTGAGGTCGGGATGTTCCCCCCTTTTACGAACAGTCCTTCATAGGGATTGTATATAGGGGGTACTAGAATCCCGATGAAGGACTGTTAGTATAAGCTTTGTTTTACGGTCAGGGACCCCAATATAGTCCCCCAAATCGTAGGATTCCCCTATAGTGAGGCCCCTATGATAAGGCACCCCCTGATTTCGTGAACCGCCACCCTAAACCCTAAACCCTAAACCCTAAACCCTAAACCCTAAACCCTAAACCCTAAACCCTAAAGCCTAAACCCTAAACCCTAAACCCTAAACCCTAAACCCCACATGTTCTTTCTACGACTTTGTGCTTTGTGCGTTGAAAGGCCCGGCGAGCGGCCAGCGCGCAAGAGTGGGACAGCCTGGAGGCGCCGGGTTTGGGGTGTAGGGTTTAGGGTTTGGGGTTTAGGGTTTCGGGTTTAGGGTTTAGGGTTTAGGGCTTAGCTACTCGAATGTGGCTGAGGGCACCTTGTCCGTACGCAGTCTCAAGCTCAAGCCACCTCCGCCACCAAATGAGCCCCATGAGCCCAACACCAATTGAAGGCCATGTTCGGACCGCTGTCGGCCGAGACGTGGGCGCCGTTGAAGGACACCAAGTTCCGGCTTTCCCTGCAGAGTTGTGCAGCTGTACGACTTCGTACGGAATTCCTGCTTAACCACTTGTCAATTGTTAGCTGAGATCTTCTGAGACATTTCAGGGATCTGGGGCCCCAGGCTCATTCGTTAGACGGAGGGGCTCTGTGCGTGTTCCTGTGCGTGAACCTTTGGAAGCTGAAGCCCTTGAGCTGAATGTCAAAACCCAGGCGGCCGTGAAAACATCGCTCTTTGCGGACATCGCCCTGGAGCTGAGTGGAGGCTTCAAGGCGCAACCTCGATGGCGAGACGATGGCCTTGATGGGCTTGAACTGCTGGAACACTTTGAGTCTGAGATTTTCCAGGGCTTGGGTTAGGATGTGTTCGGTGTTTGATTTTTGTTTCTTGGAGGCAAGGCTGGGGTTGTAAGACCCAGTAGCGGCTAGGGTCTGGGGTTGCCTTGGGTCGCAAGTACGAAGGCTGGGTCCAGTCAGAGCTTTGGTTGAGGGGGGGGGATTTTGGGCGTCTCATTGTGTCTAGAAGAAGGCGGCGTGTGCTCGTCACCTGACAGCCCGTGGCTTGACAGTACATCCATGCCGACCGTGGTGCCATTGGCTTCGAATATGGAGAGGGGGTTTATCATGGGTATAATTGAGTTCTGGGACTTCTTAAAAATTGCACGGGGTTCTATCTAAATGGCAAGTCAACATTGTTTCTCGTGGACAACGTCAGCGTGTCAAGAGAGAGACAGAGCATTCCAGACATGGATGCGCCTTGCCATGCTCACCAGCCATCAGATGTGTGAGTCTGCATCTGCACTTTTTCCATTTCTGGACATGATGCCTTGCAGGCCACAGCTTACCCCGACACAGCACTCATTGAACGCACCTTGAACTTCGATCCCTTCGACCCTGCACCCCTTCAATAGACGCCCTAAACCCTGTCTTCCACTGCGAAAGCAGAAGCCCTTCATGTCCGTCCCGTTGTGCGAAGCATCGAAGTGCTCTCTGAAGACCCTAAACGGAGAGTAGCCCAAGCCACGGGCCATGCTGGAGACGCTGCTGGCGCGGTACTTGGGCAGGTTCCTCAAGGCATTGGGTGATTGTTGGGATGGAGATTTCAAAACCTTTTTTTGGAGCTGGAGAAGTGCACTTTTGAGGCTACCGAATTTGTCAAGATCGTTACTTTGCATTCCAGCAGAGGCTTTCGTCCAATACGTCGAAGCTAGCCTGGAATGCTAGTGGGGGGGTGGGGGGGCGGGGTTCAGGGATTGTGTAGTGTAGCACATAGATTTTATCGCCTCACCCCGCGCCTCCGCCCCCCGAACAAGATCAAAGCCCCCTGCGCCTCGCGCTGAAGATGACAGGGGTTCTCTCCAGAGCAGATCTCAGCCCGCCTCCTATCCGGATCCGTGCGGCTGAAGGAGCTCCGGTTTAGGGTTTAGGGTTTAAGGTTTGGGGCTGCTTGCATTCGTGGAGGCTGTCGTGGTTTTTTCTGCATTCGGCCTCGAGATGCCTCGAGTTTAAGGAGCCTTGCCTTGCTTACTTGTCGAAGAAGATTCGGCGACTATCTTGCGAGTTTTAGGGTTTAGGGTTTAGGGTTTAGGGTTTAGGGTTAGTGGTCTGAGTCTAACATTCGACAAGCAAGGGGGCTCGCATGCTGCTATTGTGTTGTAACGACAAGAACCCTGAAGCTGAAGCCTTCAACCCTTCAGGAGAGAGAAAACCTCGGCCTAAAAAACCCCAATGCAAATTCTGCACCCGACCACGGAACCTAGACCGAAAACCCCAAAACCTTGCCAAAGCTCTGGAAACCCTGAACACCGAAGCCCCAGGCCCTCAACCCCACAGAAGCTCAAAACCTCAGCCCTGAACCCGAAACCGTGAATTGTAGTAAGCAGATGTTGGTAGGTACTCAGACGCACAAGCCATACTAGCAAGGGCTTTCTTTACATTGTTTCCCCAAATAGGGTAATACACCCCCCAAAAGAGTAGAATCCTTAATGACAGGAACCCCCAAAAAAGTGCGCCTATTTTCGGAAACCCCCACATGCTCAAGTAAACCCTAAACCTCTAAACCCCTAAACCCCTAAACCCCTAAACCCCTAAACCCCTAAACCCCTAAACCCCTAAACCCCTAAACCCCTAAACCCCTAAACCCCTAAACCCCTAAACCCCTAAGTGGCATGGACCTTTGTGTATTATTTGGCAACCCCTTTTGTTTTATATTTTAAACAGAATAAAAACTTAAGAAACAACCCTTCAAAAAAACTCGGCGGCGTGGTTGAACTTCTCCTGCCCAGGTTTGGGTTGGGCAGAGGCATCGAATGTTTTATAGGGATTTGAGTTTAGCATTTAGTACTTAGGACTTAAGGGTTTAAGGGTTCGTTGTCGGTTTTCGGGTTAACCTAGAGATGAATGGGTAGGGTTTGTCTGCTTAAGGTTTAATTAGCCTCTTGAGCTCGGGATTTTCATCATGGGGTTTAGGGTTTAGGCTTAGGGTTTATGCGAACAAGAGGCCACTCTTCTTGCCCTGGTCTTCCCTAGTCTATTCGTTCCACTGCACGAAATTCATATCCTTTCGAACATCAGCGAAAAGGACACCAAGGAGGTGCCAAGAAGCGTGAAGTGCAGTCATTGGATGCATGATGTCATCTAATTCCTTTTTGTCCACATGGTCCGTCTCTCAGAAAAGGGAGAGCGGAGAAAGGAGGAGAACGAACATGGGAAGAGTAAGGAAGGAGAGCTAGAGAGAGGATAGAAAGATAGAGAGGAGAAATGAAGGACAAAGACCGTGGAAGAAAGGAGTGAGCGATGCTCGGGAGAAAAGTGTAAGGGGAAAGGAAAAGGAACAGTGGATAACAAAAACAAGTGTCCTGCCCGAACCTATTCTCTTTTCTTCTTGATCTTCTCTCACCCCTGTTTGTTCTCCAAGCGGCCCTCTTTTCACCATCGCTTTATTCTTTTGCCTTCACCCTGTTTACCTATCTGTCGCTCTTCCACTGTCTCCCTTCTTCCTTTTTTCATGACTACTGTCTCCTTCTCTTTGCTTCTCCATCTGTCTCCATCTCTTTCACTCCGGAGCCCCCCGGTGTTTTCTGTTCATTGCTCATCCTTTCTGACTATACGAGGCAGACCCTGTACAAACGATGGGCCCTGTTCTGGACCTGGCCCTGCACTGCCTCTTTCCACACACTCCAAACCCCTCTAAGCCTCCACAAGAGTTTCAAGCAGCCTTCAGGGAGGGTTCGCAAGGGGCCTCCAAGAGTCAAGGAGAGGTGTGAGAGGAGGACCCTTTCCCCACATTGCTAAGAAGAAAAACAAGAGAAAAGAACAAAGACTCAGAGACATGTAGAGAGGTGTGGAAGGTAGTTAGAAGGTGCAGGACAAGTCCTCCTTCCATCTTATCATTCCTTCATTCTCCTTGCTTAACCTTGCCCGTGCTCTATCCCCCTACGTAATGACAAAAGGAACAGAGGAGGAAAGGCTCATGGAATGGAGGCGATAAAAGGGAGAGCGGAGAAAGGATGAGAACGAACATGGGAAGAGTAAGGAAGGAGAGCTAGAGAGGATAGAAAGATAGAGAGGAGAAATGAAGGACGAAGACCGTGGAAGAAAGGAGTGAGCGATGCTCGAGAAATAAGCGTAAGGGTGAGGAAAAGGAACAGTGGATAACAAAGACAAGTGTCCTGCCCTACCTGTTCTCTTTTCTTCTTGATCTTCTCTGTCTCCTTTTTGTTCTCCAAGTGGTCCTGTTTCCACCATCGCTTCCTGCTTCTCCTGCTTCATTGTTTCTGTTTCCTTCACCCCGTTGCCACGCTGTCCCTCTTCCGCTGTCTTCCTTCTTCCTCTTCTCCCTGATCTCTATCTGTCTCCATCTCTCTCTCTCTCTCTCTCTCTCTCTCTCTCTCTCTCTCTCTCTCTCTCTCTCTCTCTCTCTCTCTCTCTCTCTCTCTCTCTCTCTCTCTCTCTCCGCCCCCCCCCGGCGTTTTCCGTTCATTGCTCATCCTTTCTGTTTTACGAGGCACTGATCTGGACATGGCCCTGCACTGCCTTTTTCCACACACTCCAAACCCTCTGAGCCTTCCCCAAAGTTGTCAGGCAGCTTTCAGGGAGCGTCCCCAAGGGGTCTCCAAGAGTGAAGGAGAGGTGTGAGAGGAGGACCCTTTCCAAACATTGCTAAGAAGAAAAACAAGAGAAAAGAACAAAGACTCAGAGACATGTAGAGAGGTGTGGAAGGTAGTTAGAAGGAGCAGGACAAGTCCTCCTTCCATCTTATCATTCCCTTCATTCTCCTTGCTTAACCTTGCCCATGTTCTATCCTCCTACTTTATGACTACTTTATGACAAAAGGAACAGAGGAGGAAAGGCTCATGGCACGGACGCGAGAAAAGGGAGAGCGGAGAAAGGATGAGAACGAACATGGGAAAAGAAAGGAAGGAGAGCTAGAGAAAGGATAGGAGATAGAGAGGGGGAATGAAGGACGAAGACCGTGGAAGAAAGGAGTGAGCGATGCTCGGGAAAAAAGTGTAAGGGGTGAGGAAAAGGAACAGTGGATAACAAAGACAAGTGTCCTGCCCTACCTGTTCTCTTTTCTTCTTGATCTTCTCTGTCTCCTTTTTGTTCTCCAAGCGGCCCTCCTTTCACCGTCGCTTCCTCCTTCCTCTTCTTCATTGTTTCTGTTTCCTTCACCCTGTTTCCTTATCTGTCGCTCTTCCACTGTCTTCCTTCTTCCTCTTCTCCCTGATTACTGTCTCCTTCTCTTTGCTTCTCTATCTGTCTCCATCTCTCTCACTCCGGCGCCCCCTGGTGCTTTCTGTTCATCCCTCTGATCCCCCAAGAGTTTCAGGCGGCCTTCAGAGAGTGTCATCCAGGGGCCTCCAAGAGTGAAAGAGAGGCGTGAGAGGAGGACCCTTTCCCCGTGTTGCTAAGAAGAAAAATAAGGGAAAAGATCATGTAGACATGTAGAGAAGTGTGGAAGGTAGTTACAAGGAGCAGGAGAAGTCCTCTTTCCATCATATCATTCTCTTCATTCTCCTTGCTTAACCTTGCCCTTCGTCTAATTATGCCCCCTACGCAATGACAAAAGGAACAGAGGAAGAAAGGGCCCGCAGAAGGGACGCAAGAAAGGGAGAGTGCAGAAAGCGGGCGCACGAAGAGGGAGAACGAAAGGAAGGAGAAAGAGAGCTTGTTAAAGACAATAGCATTCCTGAGAACAGCGAAATCCTGTCGTCTATTGAAATGCTGGAGGGGCTCTTTGATTCCTTTTCAAATGAAGGCTTCTATCATTCATGGTGTTCCTTAGAACAGGAGAGCCTTTCAGGACAACGCCCTTATCTGTATTCAACATAGGCCGGGCTACCTCTGATTTAAGAATGCACGGAAGGGCTCATTCTAAGAAAATATACTCTCCCACCCCGAAAGAAGAGGACGGACCCACTCATCTATCAAGGAAAAGAGCCGAAAGCATCTGGGAGGAATGAAAATACGAATGAGGGGCTATCGCAGTATCCTTTTTTCTTCTGACACGGATTCGTTGAAAGAAGGGGTTCCTGCCTTTTGCTTGTTTCAAGAAGGGGAGGCTTTCGAGTGGCAAGGGGCGAGCTCACGCCCACCCCGGTCTTTGGGGTCACTCTGAAAACAGCTTGGAGAGGATAGTTGCTTCTCTCTCCTTTTTCCGTTTCTCTATCCCTTGCTCCGTATCTGTCGTTCTCGAGCCTTCCCTTCTTCTGTGAATCTGCTTCTTTCAATATCCACCAGGAGACTGCAGTTTTCGCAAGGGGGCTTCCCTGAGGGGCTCCCTGAAAGGGCCTCCCAGGGGTTTGAGAGAAGACTGCGAGAGGGGAAAAGAGGACAGTAAGATCCTGTCCCCCGTTTCCAACAAGAGAAAAAATTGACAGAGAGATGTAGGTGATAGAGGGTAGTGAGAAGGATCAAGCAGAACTCCTCCTCTTCCCCCTCGCTTGTCTGTACCTTCACACTTCTTTCTCACCCTTGACTTTCTGTGGTTCTATTTCCTTCTTGAAGGAGAATTCCAGCTCCTCTGTTGTCAGTACCTTCTCTTTCTTATCCTTGACTTTCTTCTTTCATTCCCTGTTGAATGGCAAGTAGAAAACGGGAGGGGCGGGAAAGAGGAAAGAACAAGCAGAAGGAAGAGAAGAAGAGAAAGGGATGAAGGAAGGAAGGAAGGAAGGAAGGAGGGAGGGAGAGAGAGCGAGAGAGAGAGAGAGAGAGAGAGAGAGAGAGAGAGAGCGACAGAGACAAAGGCAAGAGAGAGAGAGAGAGAGAAAGAGAGAAAGCGAGAGCGAAAGAGAAAGAAAGAGGGAGAGATGCGATGAATAAAAGAACCACACTGAGCCATTTAAAGGGTGTTCTGTTAGAGGGCTCATGATTTAAGGATTTTGAAGAGTCGAATTGAGGTCTT